CAGGGGTCTATTGGTAATCCCCCTTATGTATGCCGGGAGGCAGTAGAACAGTTGGGTATCACCCGCAAAGGTAGACTTGGTGCTGTGGCTTACATCTATGTAAGATATGAGGACAAGGAACAGGATGGGGGAGAGTACTGTCCCTTTCAGAATAAGTTTTTCATTGCAGCAGCCTCAGACATTGCTCTGTTTACTATTACATTTTGTGTTCTATTTATTAGAAAGTTTTAGATCCATCTACCAACTTGGATAAGGCATTCTAGAGTTATGAGCTAAATAAATACGGAGGAAGAATAGAAAAAAAGCAGCCTCTTAAAGGTACCCCTTCAGGGATACCTAATATTATTAATAATAACAGGGAAACTAATGAGCTGGACTCGAGTCCTGGAGGTGGAAAGTACAATGCTTGCACTTTAAAGGAGGGGTTTGGGATATTGGCTGTTTGGGGTGACATCTGAGCTGTTGTATCTGAGCACCTCTGAAAAGACAGTGATTATGTGTGAATGATGGTGAAAGTGTTTCTTTCTTTTCTTGGGTCACCCTGCCTTGGTGGGAGATGGCTGACATATTAAAATGAAAATAATAATACTATTATTGTTTAGGGAGAATTGCTAAATCCACACATCACCTGGCAGCATGGAAGAAATGGGACAAGTCCAATTTCCACCTAAGAACTTCCCTTTAATGGGTCTGCCAATAATACTGTAAATGGAATTGGGAGAATTCCCTGATGAACTGGTGACCTAATGTTTGAGCAAGGTTGTGCAAGATGTAATATTAACCTACATGCAGGCCACCAAGGAATAGCTTATGTTATGGGGGGGCCTGGTACGAAGTTATTTGGCTTGAACTAGGTACTGCTTTGCAATGCTGCTGGATATATTGTGCGAGATGTAACCGGTAGGGATTCTTCAATCAAGGGGAGGGGGAATGTCTCCCCTTGATTGAGGAACAATGTTCCAGACTATGGAGGGAGGAGGGACTGACCACCTCAAAACTATTTCTTCAAAGGCGATGGACTGGTTACGTCATCTTTGCATCTCTACTGCTTCCGCTGCCTATTCTGTATTCGACTGAAGCCTACTGAGTAGGTGAATTGTTTTGGAATAAAGATACCTATTTTTTGCACAAGTGTCTTGCTTACCAATCAGCAGGATCAATTTTTGGGGCAGTCAGATTCATGGGAATGGAAGGCAAACAGGTTTGATCCAAGAAAATGGAGGGTAGCTCAGAATCCTTGGTTCACTGGCATCGAAGCACCTCTCACTTGAAAGGTCAGATGGACACAAACGAGTACAAGTGCCCCATTGCACAGCAACACACGATTGTGGTCATTTAAAAGAGGACGTCCAGCCTGTGGCAAAAGGTAAAGATCAAAATTCCCCCCATCACCAAATTATTATTATTTTTTTTATTACATCAAGGGTGAAAGTTTGCTAAAAGAGATTATAAGTCACCTGGGGTGGGATGTGGAAGGGTCATGACATGTTAATTTTGGGGTAACTGTGGAGATCCAATTCCTACATCTCAAGTGCTTTCCATAAAATTTTATGTACCTTCATTTAGGGGTCAATCACAAAAAAGTCTCCTTTCAGTTTTTTTTTTGTCCGTATATGAATCCGTATAAATTAGCTACAGATACAGTATACAAATTAATTGGACTAGAGTTGGGCCTCCCGGCAGCTATTGTGGGCTTCATAAGCTTCATTGTTAAATTAATTGAACTTGTGATTAGTAAGAATAACATTGCATTATGTTTTCCTAAGATTTATCTGAAGCAACAATGTTTCATGGAAGGTAATAATATCTGAAATCAGTTATTTCATATGGAGTTTTTTTGTTTTTGTCCTGTATATTGACATCCTTGTTCAACTTAGCTCACAGACTACAGTATACAAAATTAATCCTGGACTAAGAGTTGTAGGGGCTCCAGGGCAAGCAGGTTGTGGGGACCCATTACACTAAAACTTCATTGTTAAATTAAATTAACTACTGGTGTCATTATGTAACCTGTTAACCAGTTTTGCATTTGTTTTCCCTACAGATCTGCATCTGAAAAGCAAAACAAATGTATCTTCATGAAGTTTAATGTAATGTATCCTGATAGCCCAGAACCTTGCTCTGTGGGAGCCCCTTTTGTGTGAGGAGCTTCTGGGGCTAGCACCCAGGATGCCCCCAGTTTAATCTGGCAATGTACAAAATCTTGCTTTGTTAACATCACAGGAGTTTTGTGTTTGGTCTGATGTCACAAATTCATAACCTCTAGCGAAGTAATAAATGATGATTCTGAACAGTCAGTATGCAGTAACTCTGGTTAATGTTTACATATGGAAATATCTGTATCACTGGTAGATGGATGTTAGAGAAAGCATAGTGTTTCCTCCAACATTTACCTGGTAAGTTTTTATCTTTTTGGAATAAGTTGGTATTTGTCCATTTGTTTCACATCAATAATTTGCAGAGCTTGTTCCTGTAGTTTTGTGAGTGGTTTAACTCTACAGCATTCAGAACACCCTATCTTGCTTCTAGAACTATACCTCTTTACATCTTGAATCCTTACTTGCTTTGGGAAGGAATTAAAGTCTCCTTGATTGGTTACTTTAGGATGAAAAATTTTCCCGTTGGCAAAAGAAAATGTCAACAATTTCATGTGTCCTAACTGGGCTCTAGAACCTTCCAAAGTCGCCCTACATGTAAGCCACATATAGGGCCTTGGACGCTTGAGGGCTAACGCTAGATGAATTTTCTGTGTGCAGCGCTTTCTAGGCTTAAGCGGCACCTGAGGCTTTGGTTCCCATAAGAGACATAAAGCATGTTCTCTTAACACTATTCTGAAGTCATGTCAACAGAGCAGACCTGTGACAAACTTCCAGTACCTATTTCTATGGCCTATCAAAGTCCTTTCATAGCTCTCCAAAAGGCTCCTAAAAATAAAAATAATATGTAGAGTATTTACAGGTTCCCCCTTGCTTTATGCCGATTCACTTGATGTGAATTTCTAAGCATGTGATACACATTAATTGTACGAGATTAGTGCATTTCACAGTGTGGAATTATTTATGGTATGAATGAACGTAGTACAACTGCCAGGGGCCTGAAATGCATCTACAGCATAAAACAAGGGACATATACACACATATGATTGTGTATATGCTTACATTTTTCACTTTGGAACCAATTAATGATACGAATTCTAATGTTTAGTTACCATGATTGCAAATATTCAAACTATTTTCAACAGACAGTTTTTCTCAGCTATTTTTTCATCAACTGAACTCACCTTTCTACAAAGGTTTATTTTATGAAAGTGTAGTAAGATCCTGTCTGTTTGGTGAATACAGTACTTAAACTGTAGATTAATAGAAACGATTTTAGGCTAAAAGTGTGTGCGTGTGAGTGTTTGTGTTGAGGTGCGTACATATGCATGTATACGTGCATATGTGTGCATACATTTGCATATGTACATATGCGTGTGTGTGCATATGCATGCATGCAGATATTGATTCTTTTCCTATATATTTTTTTTAAAATTGTAATGATCATCTTCAATATATATAACAGAATGTATAAACGATGGAAAGGTATCTAGAAATCGGCAGAGAGCATGCACAGTTCATTTGTATAAAGGGAAAAAGGACAAGAGTGTAAGAATTATAGAGGAATAAGCCTGTTGAATATATCTGGTAAGGTGTTTGGTAGAGTTATTAATAAAAGAATTAAAGTTAAGATGGAGAGTAGGACTGCAGATGAAAAAGGAGACTTTAGAAAGGGTAGGGGATGTGTAGACCAAGTGTTTATATTGAAGCATTACAAGTGAACAGTATTTAGATAATGGTAAAGAAGTTTTTGTTGCATTTATACATTTGGAAAAGGCATATGATAGGGTGGATAGGCAAGCAATGTGGCAGATGTTGCAAGTGTAATTAATAAGTGGTAAGTTACTGAAAGAAAGACTTTTTATGGGGATAGTGAGGCTCAGGTTAGGGTATGTAGGAGAGAGGGCAATTATTTTCCAGTAAAGTAGGCCTTAGATAGGGATGCATGACATCACCATGGTTGTTTAACCCTTTGAGGGTTTCGGCCGTACTAGTATGGCTTACGACCCAGGGTTTTTGACGTACTAGTACGCCTAAATTCTAGCGCCCTCAAATCTAGTGGGAGAAAGCTGTAGGCCTACATATGAAAGAATGGGTCTATGTGGTCAGTGTGCACAGTATAAAAAAAATCCTGCAGCACACAGTGCATAATGAGAAAAAAAAAAACTTTGACCGTTTTTCTGGAATAAAACAGCGACTTTGCACTGTATTTTTGTATGGTATTTATTGTTGTATTCTAGTTTTCTTGGTCTCATTTTATAGAATGAAAGACATATTACAGAAATTGAGATGATTTTGACTGGTTTTACAATGAAAAGTACCTTGAAATTGAGCTCAAAGTAGCAGAAATGTTCGATTTTTACCAAAGTTCAAAAGTAAACAAATCATGCCAAGCGTCCAATACACGTCAACTGGTGAGTTTAATATTCTTTTGCAAGTGTGCCAATATTATTTATACCATTTTTTACACTAATGCAGTAGTCTGCATAACAGTAAATCTTCTATTTTTTGTGAGAATAAAAATTCAAAGTGGAAAGCAAAAGAATGTAAGAGGGGCCTTGAGACGTGACTAATGAACAAAGAAAATGTCATTTTAGTGCCAGGAATATCTTTCTTGTTTATTCTGGACCCTATTTGGAAATTGGCATCTTTTGAAATGTGTGTGAAATTGGCTATATAGCTAAATTCTGACCACTGTACTGGATAGTTGAAATTGGTAAATGGGTGGTTTCTTGCACTCATTCGATAGAAAAAATGGAGTTCTAGCAAAATATTCATGTTTTTTGTTGACTAGTGCAGTGGAATTGGCCGAAAAAGGGGCTCAAAGTGGGCAAAATCACCGATGCGTAAACATCGCCGAGACCGCTAACTTCGCGAGAGCATAATTCCGTAAGTTTTCCATCAAATTTTATAATTTTGGTGTCATTATGATCTGGAAAAGATTCTCTATCTTTTCATAAGAATTTTTTTTTTTTTTTTTTTTAAATTTGGCCGACCCTGAGAACGAGTCTCAGAGAGGGCCTGTCGACCCTCAAAGGGTTAATAAAATTATAGATGGGGTTGTTAGAGAAGTGAATGCAAGGGGAGAGATGTGGGATTCAAAGATAAAAAAATCTAACACAAAGTGGGAGTTGTCACTGCTTTTTGCTGATGACACTGTGTTTTTGGGAGATTCTGGAGAGAAATTGCAAAAGTTGGTGGACAAATTTGGGAGAGCATGTAAATGAAGGAAATTAAAAGTGAATACTGGAAAATCCAAGGTGATGAGGGTAACAAAAAATTTAGGGCATGAGACTGGATATCAGATTAGAGGGAGTATGGAGGAAGTGAATGCGTTCAGATATTTGGGAGTGGCCCTGTCAGCAGATGGGTCTATGAAAGACGAGGTGAACCACAGTAGTGACAAGGGGGGTAAATGGTGAGTTATGTATGGAGGTATCTGTTGAGACAAAGAATGTTATCCATGGAAGCAAAAAAGGGACTGTATGAGAGTATAGTGGTACCAACACACTTATATGGGTGTGAAACATGGGTTGTGAATGCTGCAGTGAGGAGCAGGCTGGAGGCAGTGGAGATCTGAGGGCAATGTGTGGTGCGAACATTATGCAGAGAATTCATAGCTTGGGAATTAGGAGGTGGTGTGGCATTACTAAAAGCATTATCCAGAGGGCTGAGGAGGGGTTGCTGAGATGGTTTGAACATTTAGAGAGGCTGGAACAAAATAGGACAAGTTGCAGGATATATAAATCTATAGCAGAGGGAAGGCAAAGTGTGGGGAAGGGGTGTTCACTCTACCAAAGGGGGTTGCTCTACTCAAGTCTGGAGGGAGTAACAGTGATTGTGTGAGTGGTTTGGACATCCAGCAGGCATGTGTGAGCATGTTAGATAGGAGTGGAGGCATATGGTTTTGCGACTTGAGGAGCTGTTGGAGTGTGAGGAAGGTAACATTTTTGTGAAGGGATTCAGAGAAATCTTTTGGTCGGATTTGAATCCTGGAGGTGGGAAGTACAGCTCCTACACTCTAAAGGAGGGGTGGAGATATCTGCAGTTTGGAGGGGCATCTGAACTGTAGTATCAGTGCACTTATGGCAAGACAGTGATAATGAAAGTGTTTCTTCTTTTGGGTCACCCAACCTTGGTGGGAGACAGCCAGTGTGTACATAAAAAAATATAGTATTTGCTCAATAATATTACTTGGCAGTTTGTTCCATGGACTATTTTTTTTGCATTCTCATATGTTTTTATTTTTGTTATATTTCTAATCAGCTGCCCACAAGCAGAGCTATTATGGGATTTTAATGTAATACACATTTCATTGTAGAAATCATGGGAATAAGTAGTAATTACTGAAGTGTGCAGTGTAAAGTATGATGCAGTGCTGAAGTAAAACCTAAGTCAAGATATCAATGGACACAATATTTCCCTTTCTGTTTACATACAGAATATTATATGGAAATTCAGCCTTCAACCATGGAGATGTTATAGTTTTATTGACAAGTATCATCTGCAATTAGCTAAAAAAAATCTCACCATTCCTTAACAGTGTATGATAAAAAAAATTATAGGGTACTTACCAATCCTAGATACCTTATTCAAATAAGACATTGTGTTCTGGATTCATTTTATGGAAAAAGTTATTTTTTATTTTTTGTATTAAGGTGAAAAAGAGGTAATTATGGCTTATCTATTTTGAAGTAAGTGCTCACTTTAAATTTTTTACTTAATTGGGTTTGGGTTAACAGGATTCAACTGTATTTACACTGAAATATAATTCTACACCTGAATGTTTTCTCAATACACTGTACATGTGTGCACAATGGCAGTACCTGTTTGCAAGTGGGCTGTATTCAGTACAGTAAAGTGGAGTTTGCATAGAATTAACTGGCTCCTGAGTGTTCCATTTGTAAGTTTGGATGTTTGCAACTTGGAGGTTTGTAAGTGGGAAACTTCTGAAAATCATATCTAACATGCATGTAAAAAAGATGCAGAACACTGCATTTTATGACTAAGTTTAGTAAAAAACAAGTGCAGTACAATATATAAGAAATCTGCTAAACATTGTGTTTCATATTTGTGAACCAGCTGCTGCACCACTTTCTCTAAACTAGTGGCTTTATTCGATAGAGATTACGACGCAGAGCAATTTTTGCAATGTATTCTTGTCTTCTATTTGAAGCTCTCCGAGGATTATAGCGATACTCAGGATGTAAGCGCTTATGTTCTTCCTTCACATATTTTGCTCTCGCTTGCCACTTGGCTTTCTGAAAAATCAAATAAAATTGTCCAAGTGAATTAAGACTTCTTTTAATCTTCATTCATAATAATTTACAAAAAATCTCTAAGTTTTGTATATATGTACTTCTCTAATGCTCTGAAACTATTTTCTTACAAAGTCAGTAATTACTTTAGTAATTTAAATGTTTTAAGTAATTTGCCTTAAATTTGAGTTCTAAATATAATTTCTACTTTAAATGTTTTACTTACTATGCAGCAGTAACCACAGGAATTTCAAAAAAGCCATTTTTCAATTACATATGGAAGGTAGCCATGTATTATCTTATCCAAATTAAATATTAAAAATATAAAGCAAATTGAATAATTACTGTATATGAAATGAAGCAAGCATATGATGATGTAATATATATACAGGAAGGTCCTGCTTATACAGCAGGTTAGGTTCTGGGCTAATGCTGTAAAGCAAAAATTTCTGTAAAGTGAAATGCTTTTTTCACTTTCAAAATGCATATAAAGGCCTGATAACATGTTTACATTATTATATATAAGGTGAGCCATAGAGCTAGGCTTAAAAAATGCACATACAGTGCACACTAATATTATGTACCTCAAAATAATTTTGTCCTTAGCTTATAGAGAGTGGTGAATATATTTATTGTAGGAAATCTGAATAAATGAAGAATGAGTATAACTGAAGACCACTGTATTAGCGAAATGGTGTAAAGCAGAGCGCTGTAAGGTGGGGCCCTCTTGTATACACAAACAACCCAAAGGCTGATGCCAGATATCAAACTTTACCCACATATTAGCGGGATGAACCTACATACCAATTTTTATTTGCAAAGCTTTGGAGCCAATTTAACAAACAATATTCTAGAGACCCAAACCATCATCAGTATCTATCTCATCAGCAACTACTCTGACTCCTGATACCTAATATCAATACACCTGTTAAAATAACTTATAAATAATCTTTAATAAATCACTCAAATCTCAACCCTTCCCAGACTTTCTCAAAAAAACTCAAATTCATCCCTGTCCATGATGAGTGAGCCATATCAAATCTACCACTACAAGCATAGGCATTTGTAAAAGTAGTCTAAAAACAATTAGGCTAACACATAACCAAGAACAACATTTTTTTTTTTAACAAGTCGCCGTCTCCCACCGAGGCAGGGTGACCCAAAAAGAAAGAAAATCCCCAAAAAGAAAATACTTTCATCATCATTCAACACCTTTACCTCACCCACACAATCACTGTTTTTGCAGAGGTGCTCAGAGTACAACAGTTTAGAAGTATATACATATAAAGATACACAACATATCCCTCCAAACTCCCAATATCCCAAACCCCTCCTTTAAAGTGCAGGCATTGTACTTCCCATTTCCAGGATTCAAGTCCGGCTATATAAAATAACCTGTTTCCCTGAATCCCTTCGCTAAATATTACCCTGCTCACACTCCAACAGCTCGTCAGGTCCCAAATACCATTCGTCTCCATTCACTACTATCTAACACGCTCACGCACGCTTACTGGAAGTCCAAGCCCCTCACCCACAAAACCTCCTTTACCCCATCCCTCCAACCCTTTCAAGGACGACCCCTACCCCGCCTTCCTTCCCCCTACAGATTTATACGCTCTCCATGTCATTCTACTTTGATCCATTCTCTCTAAATGACCAAACCACCTCAACAACCCCTCTTCAGCCCTCTGACTAATACTTTTATTAGCTCCACACCTTCTCCTAATTTCCATACTCCGAATTTTCTGCATAATATTTAAACGACACATTGCCCTTACACAGGACATCTCCACTGCCTCCAAACGCCTCCTCGCTGCAGCATTTACAACCCAAGCTTCACACCCATATAGGAGTGTTGGTACCACTATACTTTCATACATTCCCTTCTTTGCCTCCATAGATAACATTGTTTGTCTCCACATATACCTCAATGCACCACTCACCTTTTTTCCCTCATCAATTCTATGATTCACCTCATCCTTCATAAATCCATCCACTGATACATCAACTCCCAAATATCTGAAAACAATCCTTCTTCCATACTCCTCCTCCCCAATTTAATATCCAATTTTTTTTTTATCTAAATCGTTTGATACCCTCATCACCTTACTCTTTTCTACGTTCACTTTCAACTTTCTACCTTTACGCACAGTCCCAAATTCGTCTACTAACCTCTGCAATTTTTCTTTAGAATCACCCATAAGCACAGTATTATCAGCAAAAAGTAACTCTGTCACTTCCCATTTTGTATTTGATTCCCCATAATTTAATCCCACCCCTCTCCTGAACACCTAGCATTTACTTCTTTTACAACCCCATCTATAAATATATTAAACACCATGGTGACATTACACATCCCTGTCTAAGACCTACTTTTACTGGGAAGTATTCTCCCTCTCTTCTACACACCCTGAGCCTCAGATATTCATTTTCACAACTACATAACCACATAAAACATACCTACTGGATTATTATTTTTACAACTCAAATTGGAGATAATGGCCCAGGAAAGACTGAGAAATCATCAAAAGATTGATTTCCCATTTTTAAGTTAATGTGAATTTTTAAATCTATTGTATTGTGATTTTTTCTACTACACTTGATCCTCACCAGGTATGAAACTTAGCAGATAGGTGGAAAGGGTAGAAACATATCAGGCAGTCCTAGTGTATGGAACAGGTGGCACATTATTAAAAACAAAATGTTAAGAAGAGAGTGAGGCTATGGTTAGGGTCTGTATGAGAGTGGCTCTATTCTAGTAAAAGTAGGCCTTAAAACAAGGATATATGATGTCACCATAGTTGTTTATTATATGTACAGACTTGGCTGTACAAGAAGTGATTACTAGTGTTGGGGAGAGGTGTGAGCTTAAAACATAATGAATATGATATGAAGTGGGAACTGTTAGTGTTTTTTTGCTGATGACAGCACACCCGAGATACTCTGAAAACAAACTGCAAAAGTTAGAGGAGTTTGAGAAGGTGTACAAAAAAAAAAAGGAAAATTAAGTGTGACTATAGAAAAAGAGTAAGGCGATGAGAATAAAAATTAAGTGTAAGTAATGGGAGACTGGACATCAGATTGGAGAAAAGGAGTATGAGTATGGAGACAGCAAATGTATTTAGATATCTGGGAGTGAGTGTGTTGACAAATGGGTCTATGAACACAAGGTGATTAAAAAAAATAATCAGGGGAAAAAATTAGGTAGTGTTGAGGTGAAAAGTAGTAAAACAATGAAGGCAAAAATGGGACTGTACTAGAATACAGTGATACCAATACTTTCTAATGGGTGTGAGACATTGTTTTTAAATGGTATAGTGAAGAGGAGGATAGAGACAGTTGAGATGTCATGATTCAGATCAATGTGCAATATGAAGCATGACATCACTGTGGGGTATGAAAGGTTTAATGCAGAGGGTGAAAGAGAAGTTGTTGAGATAGTAGTCATTTACAATGGATGGAACAGAATAGGTTAACCAAATGGATGTGTATTATCATTACTATTATATCAAGTTAAGCACTAAACCTAAAAGGGTCATATTGAGCAAAAATGTATAAATTTAGGATGGATGAAAGTAGGAATAAGTCATCTCAGGAAGGACTGGAAGGAGGGGCTGAGGAGATTCAGAGTGGCAGGGATTTAAGCATCCAGGAAATACAGTGGACCCCCGACTTATGATATTAATTCATTCCAAAGTCTGTTCGGGTGCCGTTACCGAACGAATTTGTTCCCATAAGGAATATTGTAAATTAGATTAGTCCGGTTCAGACCCCCAAAAATACACGTACAAAAGCACTTACAAAAATACACTTACATAATCGTTCAAGCTGGGAGCTGATCGTAAGGCAGGGGTCCACTGTATATGCAAGTGTGCTGATTGGAATGAGTGGAGAAAGTGTTTTTTGAGAGACTTGACATGCTGTTGGAGTGTGATCAAGATAAAACATATGATGGGATTCCAAGAAGTTGATTGGCCAGTCTTGAATCCTGGAGGTGGGAAATCAAGTGTCTGTATGCTGAAGGATAGGTGAGAAACCATACCCCCGGCCGGGATTGAACCCGCGGTCATAGAGTCTCAAAACTCCAGCCCGTCGCGTTAGCCACTAGACCAGCTAACGCGACGGGCTGGAGTTTTGAGACTCTATGACCGCGGGTTCAATCCCGGCCGGGGGTATGGTTTGTTTGCAATCGTGTCATTATGATTTCTTGAGTCATGTTGACGGCAGTGAAGGGACTTGAGCTAGAGTTCGTCACGGCCACGCTAGCTGGAGATTCGTCTGTAAAAACTTGCATTTGTGGTCACAGAGGTGCCTGTGCTAACCTTCCTATGGTGTAGAAATATACCTAGTTGGATGAATCTTATTGTGGCTAGCTGGTCTAGTGGCTAACGCGACGGGCTGGAGTTTTGAGACTATGACCACGGGTTCAATCCCGGCCGGGGGTATGGTTTGTTTGCAATCGTGTCATTACGATTTCTTGAGTCATGTAGATAGGTGAGAATATTGCAGTTTAGAAGGCAATATGAACTGAGGTGTCTATACACTTTTGGTAAACACACCTTAGGTGTCTTACACATCAATGAAGTTCCAAACAATCTAAACAAACCATACCATGGGTGGGGATAGAACCCGTGATCAGAGAGTCTCAAAACTCCAGACCGTCACATTAGCCACTGGGCCAGCTAGCCACAATAAGCTTCATCCAACTAGGTACTCTATATTTCTACACCATAGGAAGGTTAGCATAGGCACCACTGTGACCACAAATGCAAGTTTTTACAGATGAATCTCCAGCTAACGTGGCTGTGATGAACTCTAGCTCAAGTCCCCTTAAAGCCGTCGACATGACTCATGAAATTGTAATAACAAGATTGCAAACAAACCATACCACAGGCGGGGATGGAACTTGTGATCACAGTCTCAAAACTCCAGACCATCATGTTAGCCACTGGGCCAGCTAGCCACAATAAGATTCATCCAACTAGGTCACAGTGGTGCCTATACTAACCTTCCTATGGTGTAGAAATATACCTAGTTGGATGAATCTTATTGTGGCTATCTGGCCCAGTGGCTAACATGACGGTCTGGAGTTTTGAGACTCTTTGATTGTGGGTTCTATCCCCACCAGTGGTATGGTTTGTTTGCAATCGTGTCATTACGATTTCGTGAGTCCAAACAATCTACATTTGGAAAGTTAAAAAAATCTTCTTACCTCTGACAATGGTAAGGTTCTCCATAAATAGCCTAGCCGAGAAATTATTTGAGAGTGAGTTTCACCTGGGTACTTTGCACGGACCTTTTCCCTCATTTCCTTCTGAAAGAGCATGTACTGATTCAGTGGACGTTTTATCTGAAAATAAAAGTACTTATGTTGTTGGTGACCAGGAAAGAATAAAGTTTAACATACACAAATGATACAATTTAAAAATGCAGCTACTCACCAGGAAGATATTTATTATCCTGTATCATATGAAAATGCTCACTACTGCCAGCACCCATTTTGTGAGCATATCACACTTATTTTTCTTACCAATTTGCTTGTCATTTTCATCCACATTCTTGTGTAATTTTAAAATTATGGTAAACCCTTGATATAAAATTATGGGCAAAATTCACTGGTTAAATTATACTTTTAACTCCTTTATTTTCAATGTTTATTATAGTATAATGGTAATATATTATGTATACAACAGTATACTCTAGTGTTTTTGCTATTTTTAAACATTACTTTGCCTTAATAGACACTCAGACATTCCCTTTACTGTATCAAGTATAAACCTCATTTAAGTTAGATGAAAAATTCCCTTAAAAAAAGCTTTCTAAAATAAATTTATGGTGTGGGTCAGTTCTGATAAAGTCACAGACTAAGAAAATGTCATGGTTACATGCAAAAGGAAGGATATAGGTTTGGTAATAGAGTTGTGGGTAAGTGGAACAAACTCCCGTGTACCGTCACAGAACCTAAAACATTGTGTAGTTTTAAAAATAGGTTAGATAAAGACATGAGTGGGTGTGGGTGAGTGTGAGTTGGACCTGACTAGCTTGTGCTACTGGGTCAGATGCCGTGCTCCTTCCTTAGGTGAATGTGACCTGACCTGACTAGGTTGGAGCATTGGCTTGGGCTGGTGGGGGACTTGGATCTGCCTCGCATGGGCCAGTAGGCCTGCTGCAGTGTTCCTACTTTCTTATGTTCTTAGATATACTCCTGGCCCATGGCATATAAAATGAATTCACAGAAAGTGAATCTAAAATGTAAACCATGAGAATTTGTTCTGAGACGTTACAAATTCCACATTTCTTGACTAATGTTTACAAAACAAAATAAGCTTCCCACATATGCACCAAAAGGTCATCCTAAAATGGTATGACTTTGTTAAAAACAACTGATAAAAAATATAATAAAACTGTCTACACTACCTCTAACTTTCACAGTAGCTGCCTGGTTGAATCCTCCTTTATGCACAACTTTTCTTGTGTGAAGCTTAGTCCTGGCTTTGTTTCTGTAGATGCCTTCCTTTCCCATTACATTGTAAAATGCTTCAAACTTCAGAACACCCGTGACTTAACCTGATTCTTTTTTCTCCCTTCTCCCTCTTCCCCTTTCCTCTTACTCCTTTGGGTTCTCTTTCTTCTGCCTTGGGTGTTTGGTCCATTATTATTCCCCCTTCCTTCTGTGTTCTTGTTCCTACCCTTTGTGGGCCCCTAGCTCCCTTGCAGTGCTCCTTTCTTAATGTTTGACTCCACTACTACTACTGCTACTACTACTCCTACTACAACCTCCTCTCTCTCTCTTCTTCCTTTCCTACTACCTCTCTTGTCCTGTCCCTGTCTGCTGGCCTATATATACTCCCTCCCTCCTCTTCTTTTTGTTAATGTAACTTTGTAAATGGTCCAAGTCAAACTGAAACATCGTCATAATCTCCTCTCTCCTATGTGTAGGTTATTTGAGTATTGTTCCAGTCACCGTATTGTGCCTTTTTGTTATTTAGCTATTTTATAGTTTGCTCTAAAGCTATGTGACTCCAAGATGCAAAATTCACTCATTGTAAATTAATAAAACTCCAAGAATATTATTATTAACATAAATAGAAGTCTGAAACCTAAATAAACACTGCTAAAAGATATTGGAAATGAAATGACGGAAAAAGTACAAAACTGTAATTAATACCATACTGTTCCTGATGCTGGTGGGAGTCTTTTGATCCTTGGATTAAGCATGACTGCCTTCCATTCCCTAAGGCTAAATGAAACCTACAGGTTTGGCACTTCCCCATATACTATACAGTAAATACTATACTATATACTGTACTGGGGATCTGGGATGCTTATGAGTTTCAACTACCTCTATATTCCAAAATAAAATGAAAATGAGCAAGATATTTAGGGATTCCATGGTTTATATATATATATTTTTTTAACACACCGGCCGTCTCCCACTGAGGCAGGGTGACCTAAAAAAAAAAAACTTAAACACTTTCACCATCATTCACACAATTACCATCTTTGCAGAGGTGCACAGATACAACCATTTGGATATCATTCCAAACAGCAAATATTCCAAACCCCTCCTTTAAAGTGCAGGCATTGTACTTTCCGCCTCCAGGACTCAAGTCCGGCTAAGCGGTTTCACTGAATCCCTTCACAAAATATTACCTTGCTCACACTACAACAGCTCGTCAGGTCCCAAACACCATTTGTCTCCATTCACTCTTATCTAACACGCTCACACATGCCTGCTGCATGTCCAGGCCCCTTGCACACAAAACCTCTCTTACCCCCTCCCTCCATCCTTACTTAGGATGACCCCTACCCCTCCTCCCCTCCACTACATATTTATACACCCTCCAAGTCATTCTCTTTTGCTCCATCCTCTCTAAATGACAAAACCACCTCAATAACTCCTCTTCAGCCCTCTGAATAATACTTTTAGTAACTCCACACCTCTTCCTAATTTCCACACTATGAATTCTCTGCATAATATTTACACCACATGTTGCCCTTAGCCATACATATATACGTATCTTTTAAATCTTTTGTACCAAATTATGTAATAAAATTTATTTATTTTTATTAACACTTCAGCCATTTCCCACCAAGGTAGGGTGGCTCAAACAAGAAAAACTTTCACCATCATTCACTCTATCACTGTCTTGCCAGAGGTGCATTTACACTAAAATTATAAAACTGCAACATTAACCCTTTCAGGGTCTGTCCCGTAGATCTACGGCTTTACGGTGAGTGTCCAAACCGTAGATCTACGCCATGAGCTCAGCTCACTCTGATAAACTCTGAGTGGTACATTTGGGCCTAGATATGAGAGAATACATCTATGTGGTATGTGTGCACCACATAAAACAGATCCTGCAGCACACTGTGTATAATGAGAGAAAAAAACTGAAATCATGATTTTTCGATTAAAACAGCAACTTTACAGTGTTTTTTCGTATGTTTTTTATATTTGTATTTTGCGATTTCTTGGTCTCATTTGATAGAATGGAAGACATATTACAGAAATAGAGATGATTTTGATTGGTTTTAGCACTGGAAATGGCTTGAAACTGAGCTCAAAGTAGCGGAAATGTTAAATTTTTGCCGATATTCAAGAGTAAACAAACGACCTCACACATCTAATACACGTCAGCTGGTGGGTCTAATATACATTCACAAATATGGTGATGATATTTATACAATTATTACAGTATTGCATAACAGTAAATCTTCTATTTTTTTGGTGTGAATAAAAATTCATTATGTGAATAAAAAATGAAAATGGAATTTATTTGTAAAGCCTCAAAACATAACTAATGAACAGAGGAAATGTTAGTTTAGTGCCAGGAATACCTACATTGTTTATTCTGGACCCTATTTTGAAATTGGAATATTTTGAACTTTGTGTTAAATTGGCCAAATTAACAATTTCCGATCACTTTATTTTGTAGTTGAAACAGTTGACTTGTGCTCAATCAATAGAATAGAAGTAATACTAGTGAAATAGCTAAGAATTTGGTTGATTGGAATAATGTAATTGGCCTAAAATGGGAGTCAAACTCGGCAAAATCGCCGATTCGTAAATATTCGCGAGAGCATAATTTCGTAAATTTTCCACCAAATTTCATACTTTTTGTTTTATTACCTTCACAAAAAGATTCTCTACGATTTCATAAGAAAAAATAACAAATTTTTTTTTTGAAAATTCTTGGACACTGGTGCATGACTCCAGATTTGGGCCTTGGACCCTGAAAGGGTTAACACCCTTCCTTCAGAGTAATAAAATATATCAGTAAAAAAAAATGGGGTGGTGGGGGAAATGGAATGTCCAAATGGCTTCAGGAAGAAATCCAAATATTCTTTCTCGAAGCCTTTTTTATCCACTTCCGTGAGGCTGTGGGTCCCACAACATACGTACATACATATGTATACACACACACAAACCCACACCCCCACTCACCAAAACCCAACCCCCACCCACCAACACTCCAACCCCCCAAAAAATGAACTAGTGCAGTAACTGTTTCTTGAATTTATTTACACAAACTTACCTTATTTTTGGGCTTCCTAATCATCATTTTCTCTAATGGGCAGAGAGGTTCTAGCTCAACCTGTTCTGGGCCATTTTCAGTCACATTCAATCTTGAGCTATTTTTCTCTTGCCTCTGTGTCCGGGATTCTTGTGCCAACAATTTATTTTCAACTTTAACTTCCTTTAACTGCATATTAACATAATTGGCATGAGTGTATTTTTCCTTTTTATGAAAACTCTGCCTTTCGCTTTTGTGGTTAATATCATTTTCATTAAACACCACAAAGTTAGCTTTTTCAGCTTCATCTAAAGACTGAACTTTGTCATATTCCACAGGCAAAGACAGAGAAGAAAATTCTGTCTTGATTTTTCTGTATGCATCTGATTCAAGTACAGATTCCTCGTCACTCTTGATAATGTCAGGTGATTTAAGACATTCCTGAGAAGCAATATCCTTGTATAATTTGTTTTTGTAAAGGGACTGAAGGCATTCACGAAAACCTTTAGTTACCTGTCCTGCTTCTGTTATGCCCGACTCGTTTGCTTTTCTTGAGAATGCTTGTGATAAATATGGGGTTCATTAGTTTCTCCTTCATCTAGCAAATTTTCTGAAGCATTAACAGCATTCTGAATGTTCCACTGATCTATAGATAAAGTTTTCAATCGAGTCAGTACTGGCATATGCTGGGGTAGTGTAGTCATGGATATGATCTGTGAATCAAGTGGTGTATTGTTAAGAGAAACAAAAGGCATACAGGACTGTGATCTGGGATATTTAGGTAAACTTGATGCATAACAAGTGGATGATCTTGCCAGTGGAAAAGAGTCAAAAGAATAACGACTGGTTGAAGGATCTGATACTGGTAACAGCTTTTTGACACACGAAATGGAATCAGAAAAAGGGTGCTGGGTTTCAACAGGTCCAGGAGTAACAGCTCGTACATAGCCTCCATCATCATCTTCACCGTGTTCATCATCTGACAGCCATGACATTCGATCTGTAAGTAAATATGCCAAAATATTTCAAGGAATGTAAACAACATATGCATGTCAGGTGTACCCATAAAGAGAATGTGTTTAGAACTTACCAAGCATAGGTTTACTACAATTAAATCACCAAGTTGAACAAAGTTCAAAACAGCATTTTTTTTTTTTTGTTTACATGCTGGCCATCTCCCACTGAGGCAGGGTGACAAAAAAAAAAAAAAAACCTCTTTCACCATCAGTCACACTATCAATGTCTAGCCAGAGGCATACAGATACAACACTTTAGATGTCCCTCTAAACAGCAAATATCCCAAATCCCTCCTTTAGAATGCAGGCACTCTACTTTCCATCTCAAGGGCTAAAGTCTGGCTAACCAGTCTCCCTGAAACCCTTCACAAAATATTACCTTGCTCACACTCCAATAGCTCATCAAGTTTTGGGATTTGACAAAAACAGTATTATATGTAGTACAATACAGTGGACCCCCGCATAGCGACCTTAATAATGGATAAATGTGACAATGAACATGATAATGACCCGTGCAAGACACCCAAAAGTATGAAAAAAAAATTTTTACCACATGAAATATACATTTTCCTACACACAAAGAGAAGGATACATGCATAATAGTAGAGTAGTACATGCACAATATATATTGTGCATGTACTACTCTACTAAATGAAGAATAAATGACACTTACCTTTATTGAAGATGCAGCAATGACTGATGAGACACTGTGTCCTGGGAGTGCCTTTTCCTCCTGAGTACTGTAGGTCCTGTTTGGCATTTTCTTCCAGAACAGGCCTTATCACACTGTGTATGCCACTACGATTCTTAAATCTCTCAAACCAACCTTTGCTGGCTTTAAATTCACCAATATGAGCACTAGTTCCAGGCATTTTTCCCTGTTCACCTGGGTGTTAGTCGACTGGTGTGGGTTGCATCCTGGGAGACAAGATTAAGGACCCCAATGGAAATAAGTTAGACAGCTTCGATGACACTGACTTTTTTGGGTTATCCTGGGTGGCAAATCCTCTGGGGTTAATTGTTTCTTGGTATTCTCAATAAGCCACACCAACAACGGTGCTACAGCAGCAGCAGCAGCTGACGGTGGTACAGCAGCAACAGACGATGCTACAGCAGCACAGACGATGCTACAGCAGCAGCAGACGATGCTACAGCAGCAACAGACGATGCTACAGCAGCAGCAGACGATGCTACAGCAGCAGCAGACGATGCTACAGCAGCAGCAGACGATGCTACAGCAGCAGCAGACGATGCTACAGCAGCAGCAGACGATGCTACAGCAGCAGCAGACGGTAGCTACAGCAGCAGCAGCAGCTGACGTGTACAACAGCAGCAGCAGACGTGACACGAGCAGCAGCAGCTGACAGTGCAGCAGCAGCTGACAGTGCAGCAGCAGCTGACAGTGCAGCAGCAGCTGACATGTGCAGCAGCAGCTGACAGTGGTACAGCTGACATGCAGCTGACGGTGACAGGCAGCAGCAGCTGACAGTACAGCAGCAGTGACAGTGCAGCAGCAGCTGACGGTGGTACAGCAGCAGCAGCTGACGGTGTAAGCAGCAGCAGCTGACAGTGCAGCAGCAGCTGACGGTGGCAGCAGCAGCTGACGGTGGTACAGCAGCAGCTGTACCACCAATAGTAGCGATGGTTGATTGGGGTTTATTATACAACCTGGCCAGCTCGGAGACACGCACTCCACTTTCATACTTATCAATGATCTTTTTCTTCATCTCTAAGTAATTCTCACCCTTATTGCTGTAGGGTTGGCACTAGAAGCTTTCTTGGGGCCCATGGTCACTTATTTTCCAGAAAAAATCACCAAAAACACTGTAATAATACGAAATGTTCCGATTGTATGCTTGGATGTTACCGCGGAGGCTGGCTGGTAAACAATGCCACCGGCGGAACATGTGAGCGTGGCTCAGGCCGCACATTGGACGCGTCTCGGACGAAGGGCGGTGAGCGGGTTTTTGGGCGGTATGCGAGGCAAAATTTTTGCGATCAAAGCGTCCGGTATGCGGATTGTATGGTATGCGATGCGTACGGTATGCGGGGGTCCACTGTATAGGTGATATTATTATAATAAAAAAGAAGTGCTAAACCATTATATAGGTACATAACTTCTAATTTCTGTGCTCCATTGGAGTCAGCAATTTTTTTGAGATGGCAATTATTATTATAATAAAAGAAAGCAGTAAATATCTGAGATTGCAAGATCACTTTGGGAAATCAGGCATCTAAGGCACTTTTTTTTTTCACCTGGGTAGGGTTATCTGTTAGGGCCCTTGGGATTATCTTCCATGTATTATTATTATTATTACAACATTAAACTGCTAAGGGTCATACAGTGCTGCAGGAGGTATTCTTGGAAGTAGGAAAGTGCGAGTGTTAAAAGTAAACGTGGGGTAGGTGGTGGCATGAAATCAAATCTCTCTCCCTTGGTAAAAGGTAAATCTTTAAAGTTGGTAGCTAGTATTTTCTACACACTCTTCAAAAGGCTTTTGTAAAGAGATCATGTGAGGATGATGACAATCTTATGGCTTGAATAGGTAGACACCTCAATGAACCACAATGTAGGTGTCATTTGCAACTTGCAATTTAATTTCATCTTGTCGGTATTATATACCATTCTTGTACTACTATTACTTCTACCACCACCTCTTCCTGCCTATATATAGCCGTCCTGCTCCACTTCTGGTTAGTGTGACTTTGTAAATGGTCCAAGTCGGATTCGAAACGTCGTCGTAAGCTTCTCTCTTTTATGTGCGGGTTACTTGTGTATCGTTCCAGTCACGGTATTGTGCCTTTTTTTTGTTATCTAATTTAAATCATGTGTTGCCTACACGCTGCAGTTAAAATTGGGCGTTGCCTTCTAAAACAGTCTGGAGATGGACAATGGGCACCCTATCATGCAGTGTATGGAATGAGATAGCTCAACGGATGAAATTCAGAAACGCACAGGCAAGTTTGTGGCAATCTAATGCAGCTTAAATCTTAAATGACTTTGTTGGTTCAGGGCTAAAGACAGATTCCAATGGCACTGGGGACCAGCAGGGACATTTTCTTCCAAGTAGATGACAGTACAGTAGACCCCCGCTTAACGATCACCTCCCAATGCGACCAATTATGTAAGTGTATTTATGTAAGTGCGTTTGTACGTGCATGTTTGGGGGTCTGAAATGGACTAATCTACTTCACAATATTCCTTATGGGAACAAATTCGGTCAGTACTGGCACCTGAACATACTTCTGGAATGAAAAAATATCGTTAAACGGGGGTCCACTATATTAGGAAAGAGGGTCATTTATGGAAAATGTGCTGGTTTCCAAAAGGTAGAATGTAACTACTATTTTGACTGACTTTAGTTTTAAAATGCAGTATGTAAAGCTCATGCTAGAAATTCTCCAGGTCAGGCAAGACTGCAAAATTAAACCCTTTTATCAACTAAAAAAGAAATACTGCAGACTGATTTTAATAGCAGTTGTACGTTATTCCATTCATACTTGTGGCTTTGCCAGGATCTTTAAGGTCCTGAAATTGAGACAGCACTTCATTACCATCAATGAACAAGTTATTACTCACTGTGGTAGGTTACCTTCACTACACATGTGAAATTTCAGGCATAATATAAATGGTCTCAAACCCTTCAAAAGAGGACTCAGTGAAGGGCTCTTCATCCAAAACACTGGACCTACCCTCTCCTTCAGATCATACCATATTTTGCGTCAATTAACATTTTATGCCAAGTTTAAACTAAAGGTTAAATAATATTTAAACTGCCTTATGTACTGGCTAAACATTTTACTGAATTTATAAAAAATATATTTACAGCTCCTAGGTAGTAGGTTGGTAGACAGCAACCGCCCAGGGAGGTACTACCGTCCTGCCAAGTGAGTGTAGAACGAAAGCCTGTAATTGTTTTACATGATGGTAGGATTGCTGGTGTCTTTTGTCTGTCTCATAAACATGCTACTTCTACTTACACTTAGGTCACACTACACATACGTGTACAAGCATATATATATGCACCCCTCTGGGTTTTCTGCTATTTTGTTTCTAGTTCTTGTCATTATGTTTATGTATCCTCTCATCTCCTGAAGTGGAAAAAATTCTCCTCTGGCCGTCGTGACAGTACAGGATGACTAAAATTCGGAGCGAGGGCCTATGTAAACCTTTTCTCCTGTATTTTAGTTTACTTGTAACTTTTATTTTCTCATCTTGGTGGCACAAAACCCTTGGCCTCGGTGGGATACTTGCCGGGTGTAGAATTGAAAGTATTACTAATGTAAAAGGATGAAATTTGTTGTTTTTCACTTACGTGGAATACTGTTCTGAAAAAAGATTATGTTAATTCAAGGTGTCGATATGCTAAGGATTTCCTATACTGTAACATATTACAAATACATTTATTAAAATGACAATTAAACTATAAATATTAAATACAATAAAAAAAAAAAAAAATTTAAAGCATGAACAAAAAATAGGGACTCACAAGTACATACCACAATACACAGTAAGAAAATCACTGTTTAAGGCTAATAAAGTTACCCCTCCAACTGTTTTGGCCACAGTAAAATACAGTGGTACCTTGACTTGCGAGTTTAATTCATTCTGTGACCGAGCTTGTAACTCAATTTGCTTGTACTGTATTTCAAATAAATTTTCCTCGTTGAAATTAACTGAGATGCCATTAATCCATTCCAGCCCCCAAAAAACCACCCCAGGGGCCAGAAAATACTTCAATATAATGCTAATATCAACTCTGCGGCTTATTTATCTATCAGAATTAATCTAATATGACATAATAAACACTATAAGTAATAGAAACATGATATATACTCTAGAATGAATAAAATAGGCCATAATATGGCGAGTGGCCAGGACAAGTCCGAGCAAATAAAATCATTACTGCTCCTTCCTATAACGTGTTCTTTGGTCCTGGGTAACAGAAAATGGAGTTTTTGAGAGGCTTGCTGCCTAGATCACTAGTGCAGTGATATATGAATATCTCTGAAAATGACTTATTTCATAAAGCCCACCATTTATTATTGAAGTACAGTAAATGCAATAATGTTGACAGGAATCATAAAAAAAATTATTGTTCTACAACTGGCTTGTGGAATATTGGAAATATTCCAAATATTTTGGGATTTGTGTGGGAGTAAAGGGCAAGATATTTCGCAAATGTCAAAAACTTAGCAACTTTATTTTTTTGTAGAATAACTAAAGATAATTACATGATTACCTCCAGTGGGAACATCACACTAGCATTGTTTTATAAGTACCAAATCCCAAAACCAACTTTTGTTATGCCATTTAGGCCGGGGTTCTTGCCAAATGTCATTTTCAGTAAATATTTTTTTCAGTGAATACTTTTTTTTTTTTTTTGGTCGTAACTCGGAATTTGGCTCGCAACTCAAAGCAAAAAATTTACCGAGCGACATCTCGTAACTCGGAAAACTCGTAAGTTGGGGCACTCGTAAGTCTAGGTACCACAGTACTGACTATATTTTATCTCTATTAAAGGGTTAAACTACACATATGCTTACCCTCTGAAACTCTACGAAGGTCAACAGGAGAAAGCAGCCAGCTCAATAAATGAGATAGCACACAGGAAGAAGCAAATATATTATCCAATTCCAATTTTTATTCACACTTAGATACACAATTATATACACATGACATGAATACACTAAAGAACACTTTCAAAACTGAATTCATATATGCATAAATTATCAATGTCTTTACTAAATATCAGTTGATACTTTAACAATAGTAATTTTTTTATGTATGTATACAGTATTACATTCAACATCAATTGCAAAACACTTTAAAACTATTAAATAAAATATACCAATATTTACCCTGTGGTGTGAGGTTGCATTCCTCTAAGCTACTTCAAGTATAAATTTTCCTAAAAGAAAATTTATCAAAAGTAAAATACATGATATTCCAATATGGAACAATATCCTTTTATGTGGTGACACTCAATAATTAATTACAATGTTTACAAATTGAGAGACTTAGCTTAATGAGCTATTTCTTTAATCAACAGACTTGTCTGTAACAGGCTTTGAGGTTTCTCTTTAATGCTGCAGATAATATTCACTTTTTTTTTTTTTAAGACTCATAAACAGTGCTCTAAATATTTACACGAGTTTCTCCTTACGAACTGGATATTGCATGTGATGTACATTTTACTTACTTATACTAAAGAAAAGAATGAGTGGTCTTATGAAATGAATAGATACAATGTATAACGTAATAAAACACAAAATTTGAGGAAAGCCTCAAAAGTATCATGAATGTCGACAATGAATACCTCTTTTATGGAATGTATGGAATATAATGTCTTGCCTAAATGAGGTCAGGAGCATACAGGCAAGTTTAAAATCATCCATTGCCCTGTCAATATTACTGTTATTAGCCTGAGTGGGAGTAATAATATCTTGTGAGACTGTTGAGTTTCACAAGTAATAGCAAATTGCATTTTGGACAAGGCCTGGTCCATGGCCAATGTTCCAGTCTAGGAATTCTAGAACAGTTTCCTTGGTGGTAATCTGAATCATTTTCAGGTTTAATTCCAATCATTTAGTGTTATGAAAAGAAACCGAGAAGAAAGGGGAAGCCCCTAAACACACAAAACTGCTTGGCACATCAAATTTACCTTTTCTACACCCCCTTCACCCATTATGGAGTCCAACAAGGTGAAATTCTAGACTCCAGGGGTAGCAGAGATATATACAATACACATTTACTATTAGAGGTTCTTATAGAAGTCACATGACCAAAAGGATGCATTCTTGACCCTAGTCAATGGGAACCAACCAACTGATTTAGGCAAATCCACACTAAACTTTTCCTTTCATCTCCTTAAACCAACCAAAGTGCATTAGCAACAAATGGGCTGCAGTTCTAAGGGTGGGCCCAACTTCTAAGTGTGGGAAGACACAAATTTAAGCTTACATGGCATATGCATAAAGGCATCCTTTGGTCTATTTTCTCAGCTATGGCCCTCCATAGCATAGAGAGCCTTAGACATGATGTTATCAGGGCAAATGGCCAAGGCACACCGAGAGGAACCCAAAAATATGCATATGAAGCACAAGTGTTATGCTTGTATCACTGGAGTTCTTGGACTTAGAAAAATATTCATACTCAGTTTTTTATAAAAAAGTAATTGTGGTTAAATAACAGCCAGTAGACAAAAAAAATATTGAGCTTCGCTCAATGAGAGCAATAAATTTAAGCAAAACATTGATAATAAAGGCTTCTCCAATCTATATGTCTGTTTAGTGCTTATCTTCCATTCAAATATCAGCCAAACTAAGTACACTGTAGTACCATTGTTAGAGATAGTACTGTATAATTACACTATACATTATAATTTAATTGATCCTTTTTTATGATTTACACATGCAAACATAGATGGTTTGACCTGGTAAAAATTTTCAAGTGGTTCTTGTAAACAATTATTACACACACTTGTTGTTGTGACCCAAAAAAAGGGAGCATTCATCATCACTCATTCAACAGTTGGCTTGTCAAACAAACATGCAGGCATCACAATTTAAATGACCCTCCAAGTTGCAACATCTCCACCCTTCCTCCTGAGTGCAGGTATTGTACCTTCCACCTCCAAGTCTCAAAGTCCTCAATATGTATTCACTAGTGGAGGAGATATACATGAAAATATATACATGGAAGGTGCTTAAGGGCCTTGTCCCGAATCTGCACACTGCCATAACACACTAGTGAGATATGGGAGAATGTATAAAATAAACCCAGTGAAAAATACGTGGCACCATGGGCACAATAAGAGAAACTGCAACAACATCTAAGAGCCCAGACTGTTTAACACTCTACCACAAAATATCAGAAACGTGCTAGAACATGTGCAGATATTTTCAAGAAAAAATTGGAAAAGTACCTCTGCCAAAATGCCAGATCAACCTGGCTGTGATGGATATGCGAGCCAACGGGTCACCAGCAGTTAACAGCACCAAACTAGTCTGGCCCAAGGCCGAGCTACGAGAGAAGGAAAACTCTGGAAACCCTTCATAAGTCAAAGGAATAATTCAGTTTCCCTGAATCCTTTCATAAATGTTACCTTGTTCACACTCCAATAGCACCTCAAGTCATGGAAGCAACTTGTCCCCATTCACTCTGATACAAAATGCTCATACAAGCTTGCTGTATGCTGAAGCCCCTAGTGCCCAAAACCTCTTTTACCTCTCCCTTAAACGACCCCTACACCAATCCAGTTTTATACATTCCCTTGGTTACTGTGTTCTGCTTCATCCTATCTTAGTGCCCAAACTACATCAACAATCCCTCCTCAGCCTTCTGAATTACACTTTGCATAACCCCCTCTCCATCTTCTAACTGCAACACTCAGAATTCTATGCAAAACATTTACACTAACAATTTCTCTCAAACATGACATCTCTGCTGCCTCCAGCCTCTTTCTTGTTGTTACATTTAATGCTCAAGCCTCACACCCATTTAATTGTTGGTACTCCTATACTCTTGGTCCCCCTTTTTTTGCCTCTGTAGATAAACTTTTTTTTCCACAGATGCCTCAACATGCCATCTACCCTTTCCCCCCTATTCTATTCTATTCTATGGTTACCCCTCTTCTTTCATACATTTGTCTGTCAACATCCACCCCCAAATATCGCAATCCATTAACCTCCTCTAAACTCCCTATCTCCCTATCTAATATCCTCTCATTACCTATAATTTCTGTAATTCCCATTACCTTACTTTTTTCTATGTTCACTCTTAATTTCCTTCTTTTACACACACACACCCAAATTTCTCCACCATTCTTTGCAGCTTCTTTCAAGAACCTCCCAAAATAATGGGGTCATTAGCAAATAGCAACTGTGATAACTATGCATTGAATTCATTATTTTTTAATCCCCACATCTCTCCCAAAAACCTAATATTTATTGCTTTTATAACCCCATCTATAAATACTGGCATATTAAATGGCAGACAAATATTTAACACTGAATTTTATGTAATCAAATTACTTCAGTAATCATATTAGACTCTCCACACCAGTACTCAAACAGTATTTTCCATTTGTCTGAAAATGATGTACAATCTCTTTTTTGCTCTCAAACTTTGTCTCAATTTTCCAACTACTCATTGCTAATAATAATAATCCACCCATTTTTTTTAACACACCAGTCATTGTCTACCGAGGCAGGGTAACCCAAAAAAGAAGAAACACTCACGATCACCCATTCAGTCTTACCAGAAGCATGCTGACATCACTTTTCAGATGGCCCTCCCCACCACTTTTTCAGAGTGCTGGCACTGTATGTACTTCCCACCTCCAGGACTCCAGTCTGGCTAACCACTTTCTCTGAATCCCTTCACAGGTTTTTCATAAATGTTTTCTCTTACTTTTTCTAAGAACTGCATTTAGCACAGAAAATCTTAAGAAAAATACTTTGGTAGCTTTCCATACACCTTAAAAATAAATAAAGCATTGTACCTCTCAATCAAATCCCCTTCACTTTGTAATACATTGTATTCAGTAAAGAAAAATGCTACACACACAAATTTAGTTATTTACAAAACAGACCAGCTGGCCCAAGTGCAGTGTTGTATACAATATAAAATATTAAGGAATTTAATCTATTTCATATATGGGTATCTCTATTTTTGGTAAAATATATTTTCCTGTCCGTTATGCATACATCCCCAAAATTATAAAACTAATAGTTTTTTCTATGTCTGTCTAGATTTCTCTTTTATATTATCCTGTTTAAGTATATATAAAAAAAAATTGTGGCAATTAATTAACATATGCCAAGCCTTAGTTATATTAATTCTTCAGCGAGTTTTGTGCAGATGCAGATTAAGCAAATTGTCAAGCTATTACACCACCTCCTTTCTACCACATATTTGTCCAAACTAAGCTGCTGCTTTTGAGCAATATCTTGCTAAGCATATCTTAATCTAATTCATTTTCTGCTAAATTTATGATATCATGTTCTATCTTATTTATAATTTATGTAAGAGCCTTGTGAATTTATTTATCAATGTGGTGTCACGTCTTTTAATTTGTTATCTATTTCTTACTTTTCGGTTTGATGGGATGAATTTTCCTTTCCCAGGTGCTCTGAGCCTTCTTTTACTTAACAGGAAGAAAACATTTCCCTCTTTCTTGCTGCTCTTCTTGTTTAGTTTTTATGTTTTTCTATATTCACTTTGCTCTTAGTTGTCTTCATTGTACAGATGAATTGTAGTATTTATTATATTCACTGGGAAACACTACAACTGCAAGGGTTGTATAGCATGGGAACTAGAGAGCAATCTGGTTTGATCTTAAAGAGGGTACCTTCAGTTCCCTGGAACAAGAGCATTTCACTAGTATTAAGGCCCCTCCATCTCCCATAAAGGGCTTTCCTGGCAGTAACAGTATTGTTTTGTCCCATTAATTCTTGACCTTTTTTAACAGTTCATTTTGTTTTCTATTAAATATAATCTTTAAGTGCTGTTTGGTTAAGTTAAACCTTTCTATTGTTTTTATGAGCCTTTTAATTAGCTTCTCTTCAATATCTTTGTAACCTGTTATTTCTTTTTAATTCAATGCCAAAAATTATCACAGAAGTCTCACTCTGCTGCTGCTTTTAATAAATCATGATTCTTTAGTCTCCTGTTTAATTTCTCAACTTTTGCTAACCCTAGCATCTATCTGTTTCTACTGTTTTTATGCAATAGGTAATTAGAGAAACAGATATAGCTACTACAATATTAATACTGACCAAGAAAATGATAGCCATAATAGCCACCTGGAAATCCATACGGAGTATAATTATATTCCGTTCCCCGGCTACTTGCATCATTCATACGATTCTGTGGATCATAGCCATATGTCAATGGTTCTTCTGATTTGTAAGTAGCTAAAGCTGTATCAGAGGGCTTACTTAATGGGTTGTCAATAACAGATCGGCTGACATTAAGGGCAGATACCGGATGGTTGAGGGGACTAGAGTTCATTGTTGCCGAAGAAATATCCCCAACCCCTGTTGAGTCACCTCTAGAGAGATCCCGGGTCAAGTCACGAGATAAGTTATATGCAGCAGCTGCATTTAAATTTACCCCTAGAGATGCATTTACCATCTGAGGTGGTTTTGGTACTCCTGTTGAAGAGAGGCCAGGGTGAATTAATGAGCTTCCTTGATCACTTTGGTTCACTGATGAAGACTCAACACTTTGAGAGCCTCTGTTTATAGTTATATCTGGGTTGCTGCCATCTTCATTTGAAGCTCCGGCTGCAATGTTGCTTGGCCCTGCAAGGTGCTTTGTAAGGGGCAAATGACTAGAAGAGTTATCAGTTTCACCATCTTCAAAGAATGTCTCCTCCTCATCTCTGGGATTATCATGTTGTGAATTCCCTTGATCATTGTATGATTCAGCTTTTCTTTGTTTAGAAAATTTTAGATTATTATTAGATTTAAATGTAGCAAGCCAACCATTAGATGCTTTAAAATCATGGTATCCAAGTTCTGGAGCAATCTGAAGTGCCTTTCCTCTCAACATACCCGTGGTAATTTTGACCCCAGCTACAACCGTCATGTGACGATACCACTGTATAAGATGCTGGTTCAGCAAAGCATATTCACTTTTCCTCTGTCTTTTCATTGTAAGTTTTTCTCCACGCAGAAGACTATCTCTATAAATGGTAAGTATCTCTTCCCTTCTTTTAATTATACCACTAACTTGAGTTTTTCCAATTCCATATAGGTGAGCAATCTGCCGCTGTGATTTACCATCCAAAAATGCTTCAATGACTTTCACCTTTTCCTCAAGTGTGAGTGTTGTCCTTGTCTGTTTCTCTCTCTCTTTTACTGGAGGTAAGGTAAACAATGACAGTGGATTAATTGCTGGAAATTTCATATCAGATGACTCCTCGAATTTATTGTCTGGAATTCTTTTATCTGCAAGTTCCCATACATTTGGCTCTTTGTTTTCATTGACAACAGATTTTACAGACATCTGTACTTTGGTATTTTCCTCTGGTGTAGAGTTTAGTGATAAAATATTCTCTTTATCTTTTTTGGTTTTGGCTGTTTCCTCATCAGTTGGGAAAGGAGGGTCACAATTTACACTCACTTTTTCCATAGATTCCAAAACTGGTGAAACTGTCTTTTTCTTCAATCTCTCCAAGGCCCTAGTTATTGGTCTTTCATTAGAATCTGACCCAAACAGTGACCTCCTCTCCTTTGCAAGCCACTTTTTTCTACCTTCATCTAAAGTACGCCTGGCTTTGAATTTTCGTTTGGCTCTTTTCAAGGGTAGAGATGTGCAAAAGAGAGGTTTTCGTTTTGTTATGCTTCTCCATCCATCAAGATCCTGTCCTGTAGTAAGGCTGATTGTTAGTGGGCCATCTTCACATGGAACTTCAAGAGTTTTTTCCACCAAAGGAAGACTTGGCAATGCAGTATCTTCATTCTTTGAGGGTGGACTTTTGTGTCGGAGGAGACACAGGTCTGAAAGAGAAGAGGAAACTTACAAGTCATGGTTCTGTCATTCACTGAGTTTATGATAAAGGAAGGAAACAAAAACCAAAATGAATATCCTTAATATGAGCTTTGTGGCACAGCCAATTATTAAGTTTTAATGACCGAACCATAACATTGTCAAGTTGCCAATTCTCCTGCAGCCTCTTTTCAAATCAGGAAACATTTTAAACAGTTAGCAACATTGTGTATGAAAATTACTTTAACTGTGCACAAACAAAGCTATATTACATTATACTATATACAAATTATGCATGTGCTTTTTCACAATATCTAAGTTCATACACAATAGCATATATATAATTAAAAAAAAAAGGTAATTACCACACAATAAAAGTAAGATAATATTATAGTCTCCAGTTAATTAGTACAACCAAAGTACAGCACATAATGCTAATACAATCAACATAAAAAACTATTCCTCTAGACGTTCTTAACTACACCTAGTGTTGAAGTTTTTGAAAGGGCTTCCCTTTTTAGCCTAAAAGAACATTAAAAACTGAAAATCCTTTAAATCATAACTTTTTAAAACAATCTTAATTAGAAAGTAAGAAGAAAGATGGGAGAACATGAAAAGAAGATAATATGAGAAAGAAATGAAGGAATAAAAAAATGAGGAACAAGGAAAAACTATACTAGGCTAAGATCCTTATTACTACTTATGCAAAAATGAGTATAACTGGTAATTTCTCCAAGCACAATTTTTGTAGACCTACTGGAATAAATGTTCAGAAAGAAGTCTATGAACACACACGAGCATTCTGGTATACAACAAGGAAAACTACCCAACATGAGGCACAAAATTCCAGTAATTATTTAGGTACATACAACTAAGATGGCAAAAATGCTTTTTGATTGAAGTAGCAACAAATGTAACACAGTGTAAAAAAGGGAACAGTAGGGAGAAAGAAGGAAGAGAAAAGTTTATAAGGAAATGAGGGGAGGGGTGAAGAAAGAGAAGGGAGAGATGCAAACAGGTGAATTATTGTATTTATGAATTGTGTATGAAGAATAAGCAACTGTTATGCCTGTTTACAGATTTCAATAATTTATAACAAGTAAAAGCATACCCTGCCTTGGTGGGAGACAACCGACATGTTGAAAAAAAAAGCATACCATGTTCTCAACATAATTCCTATTAAGAAACACTTAGAAGCAGAGCTTGGCATAACAGCTAAAAATTATACAATGAACTGGAGACTTACCATTGTCTGTCGTGGTTATGGAGGTAAGACTGATGGTTCGTGGTTTATGACGTGTTCTTTCTTCCAGCTGTAACAAAGACCAACTGCCATTAAAAAAAAAAAAAAAAATTCAAGAAGGCTGTATCCCACCAAGGCAGGGTGACCTAAAACAAAAAATGAATGTTTCTTTTTTTTTTTTTAATTTAGTAATGTATACAGGAAAATGGGTTACTAGCCCCTTGTTCCCGGTATTTTAGTTGCCACTTACGACATGCACGGCTTACGGAGGAATTATTCTGCACTTCATCACTGCCTTTTTAATGAGCTATTCCTGCCCTTTCTGTTTTTCCCCCCTTTCTATTTATGCTTCTCTTATTTCCTCGCATACGAAAGTTCATCAAAGCAATTCCCCCCCACTTTTCCTGCGCAGTGTTCTTTCTTAAGTTTAAGCAAACCAAGTGGTTTAACTTATGACAGCCAAATCAGAATAATGAAGTCTCTAAAAAAAATTTCATACCAATAAGTCTGTAAAACTAGAAATTCTTGGAAGTGGAAAAGTTTCCCCTTACACTCCCACCCCATCCAAGACAAAAATGCATAGCAAATATATAAATCAGTATTTTGGCACAATCTCAATAGCTATTAGTTAATTTGTAATTAAAAATAATTACCTTTCTTCAAAGATTTTCAAATGTGCAATAATTTGGTTAAGCATTAAACATTAATTTGTTACCATGCCTAAATGGTTAGTACAAAGAATTTGTTTAAGATCTGGAAACAAATACAGTGGAACCCCGAGTTTCGGCCGTCCTGAGTATTGGCCGCTTAGAGTTCCAACCGCTTTTCTCTGCTAAATTTTGTCCCAAGTTTTGGCCTGTGCCCCGTGTTTCAATCGGTGTACCAGACCTGTCCTCCTGCCCACGCAGGCATCGTGAGCCAGTCTAGCTTTGTTTATCCTTGAGTGAACATTACCCTGCGTGCTCATCCAAACATTTCACAATAAATTCATTGTGTTTAGTTCTTGTTTATTGATTGTGACTCTGAAATAAGCCACCATGGGCCCAAAGACACTTCATAGTGGCAACCATTTGGCAAAGAAAGTGTGAAATGCGATAGAACTGAAGAAGGAAATTGTAGCAAAGTACCAAAGTGGAGGAGGAAGAGAGAGGGGAGAATGTGCCTTTCTTCAGTGATTCTACGATATGTACGACACTAAAGCAGCATGAGTTGATAAAGATTATAGCGTCAGCCAGCGATAAAGTGTAGCATAACAATGTAGCAAGTAAGTTAAGTAATTAAGCGATAGAAAAATGACTGACACGAAACTTAACTCCTCCATTGTTATTTGAAGTATACAGGGTGACTGAAAACACTGCAACCTGTCCTGCCTCTGCTGCTGCTTATGCTTATGCACTCAGTGGCCCTTGTACACCCAGTAACAACACAACACCAGTCATGACATACGTAATGATGTATTTTATTCATTCTAGAGTAATATGTCAAGTTTCTATGTTATTAATATTGTTTATTATGTCATATTAGATGAATTGTGATAGATAAATAAGCCATAGAGTTGATATTAGTGTCATACTGAAGGACTATCTTGTCCTGCCTCCAAACTCTTCTGCCACTCTCATACACCAACAAGTCTTCAATAAAGGTAAAACTGATTTAAATGTTCATTTATCCATTAAAATTAGTGCTTTATATTTATTTCTCACTGTTTTCTGATTGTAAAACTATAGTATTTATTCTTCAAAATAATGATTTTTTTTGTGAATATTTTTGGGTGGAATGGATTAATTGGATTTACATTATTTCTTATGGGAAATACTGCTTCGACTTTAGGCCTAGCTCCTGGAATGGATTACGGCCGAAACTTAGGGTTCCACTGTATGGTTATATATTACAATAATGAGATTCAAGAGGCAATGAGAAAACTGAAGTGAAGGAAACTTGCACTTACCTTGGTCCCTATGCGTCCCCAATCAGGGTCTAAAACTGGATCAAGTCTCTCCTCAGAACACAGGCTTTCTTGCTGCAGTGATGATAAATATATTGTAGCTCTCACAAATAGTGTATTATGGATTTTAGGTAAATAAGTAAGGACGAAGCAAGAAAAATTCTGCATTAATAAAAAAAAAAAATGTGGGCTCTGCAAAACCAACTAACATATTTAAATCATAGGATTTATTACTTCTTGGCCATGCTTCCAAAGGGAGATGCTAGAGAGACAGACATCAGGTTATCATTATACAGTATAATGTACTGTATTCACAAAAATGAGATAAACCAATGCTAACCATTTAGCTTCATGAAACATCAGACATACAGAGAAGTCAAAGGTTTCTGGACAAGATTTTTTAAACACTTAAACTATGTATGACATGTTGCACATCAGGTATCTAGGCCGTGTATGAAGTAAACCAAACATCCGACATATTGTGCCTTCAAATTTGCTTTGAGCCGCCATTTTAGGTCTTAGCTCAATTATTAGAGGTCGCCTACCACCACCTAAACCAGACGAGTCCATGCAGTGACTTATGGGAAACTGCTTCAAAAGCGCATGCAGACAATGTAACCAAGACTGTAACAACTAGCTTCCCTACCAGCAAAAGCAAATAGGGTGTGAAACTAGCAGAAAGATGTCTTATTTATTTCAATATTATGTACAAGTTAATGATACAGTCAGTGTACTTCAATAAAACAGCACAATACAATAGGTAGATGTTATTTCCCAAGGTAACTCAATAAAGTCAAAATGTGTAAATTGTTTTCATGTTTTGAGAACTACCACACAGTGAAAGGGTGCAGAACTGTTAGGAAAATTCATTATTTGTTCCAAATTTGCATCATAATACTAACCACATTAAGCACAATTTCCCAAACTATATTCATAATTTGTTCTAACTCATAGGCCACAACACACATCACATAAATCAACATAATGAATTTAAAAGATTACTAGGGGAAGCAAAGTGTATTCAGATTGAATCCAAGGAAAAGGGTGGGCTAAACCAAATCCAGATCCAGTTCCTGAGATCAAGAACCTTTTACCAGAATAAAGGACCCCTTTATTCTGGTAAAGGGTGCTGTTATGTATATGCGAGATGGAGAAAGGCCGTGACACACTGGAAATCAATGATTACAGTTCCTAATTGAACCACCAAAGTTTGTGGGGGTTAGGTTTCCAGAGGTCCCCACAAGTTTGGGATATCATTTAATTCTTTTCATGTATGTTTTGTTTGAGGTTTACATTATAAAAAACAAGGAAACTTGTAAATCAGGATCCCTATTGTCCCTATTTAGACAACAGGGATTTTAATTTACAATTTTCCCCATTTTTGATAATTCATTTGATTATATCAGTTATCCTAATCAGAACCTCAGATAGTTTCCACATGCTTTTGCTATGATTTCAATCATGAGGTATCTGGAAATCATATGTGATTAGTGGATTTCCTAAACACTGGTTTCATTAATGAGCTTTCTAGAATCTTCCCTTTCGCCACCCTTGTACAATACGACAACCCTTTCCCTGATGCCATACTTGGTACTAGCATATCTTCCCTAACTTTCCTCATCCAGTGGAAACACTACATCGGCTACCTCCCTTCAATGATTTCTGAATATTTTTCACTGATTTTCCCATATTACTTTATATTAACCCTTTCACTGTCCACACTCCCAAAATTAATATAGCTCTCAGTGTAAAAAAAATAAGAGAATCTTTTTCTGGAGTAATGACAACAAAAGTGAAAAATTTGATGGAAAACTTATGGAATTACACAGGCACAAAGTTAGCAGTCTAAGTGTAATTTATGCATCAACAATTTTGCCCACTTTGAGTCCATATTAAACCAATTCCATTGTTCCATCTGACCAAATTTTTAGCTATTTCACTAGTATGCCTTCCATTCTACCAACTAATCACATGAAACCGCCTATTCAACTACTTCAACCACCCAATAATCATAATTCGGTAATTTGGCCAATTTCACACAAAATTAAAAAATGACAATTTCAAAATGGAGTTCGTAATAAACAATGCAGACATTCCTGGAACTAAAACATTTCCTCTCTTTATCAGCCACATCCCCAGCCCTCTCCTATATTACACTTACTTTCCATGTTGAATTCTTATTCACACAAAAAATAGATGATTTACTTTATTTCTCGGATAATAATATATAACCAGGAAAGCTTGTTCATGGTTTATAGCATTCCAATAATTGAATCAAACCAATAAAAACCCATAAAATAGATTGAGGGGGTTGTAGGAGGGCTTTACCTTTCCTCTGGAATACTGAGGAAAATCAAATATTTCTGCTGCTTCGTGCTTAATTTCAAGCTACTTCCAGTCCTGAATTCAATCAAAATAATCTGTATTTTAGCAACAAGTTTTCCATTCTATCAAATTATAAAAAAAAAAAAAGACAAAACTTACAAAAACCATCCAAAAATACACTGAAAAAGTTGCTTATTTAAACCAAACACACATTCAAAATTTTGTTTTTCCTATTATGCACTGTGTGGGGGCAGGATTTTTTTTTGTATGGTGCACACTCACCACACAGACCTATTCTCTCATATTTAAGCCAAAATTTAGCGCTCACAGCTTATCTTAATGAGCTGAGGTCATCATGTTGAACTACGTTATGGACCCTGAGCTCAAAACTGTGATATCATGGCATGGACTCTGAATGGGTTAAAGTATGTTATTATGTTATAAAGAGTGATTTAACCTAGCCTAACTGAAGAAGGTCAAGCAATGTGAATATACACACACCCGTACATACAAATATCTGTGTTGTGAACTTTCAATAATACGAACTTGCAGAAAGTGCTGAGATGTAAACAATACACAATAGGTTACTTCAGTGGCATTGTTCATACATGTGCTTGTGCTCTCTCCACAAATTCAGTGTTATTTGTGGTTATTATACCCCAATATATCTAGTGTTAAGCACAAAAGCAGTGATGATGCAGGTGGTAGTGCTACAAAGTGCCAGGCTATCACAATGGAAAAAAATGCAAATAATAATGCATTTTCGTATTTTTTCCTATGTTTACACATATATTTAACCCTTAACCCTTTATCGGGCAGAGGCAGTTTTGACTGCCTTTAAACACGTGCACCTTTACGCGTGTCATCCTACTCGTGCTGCACATCTGGATTCCCGTTCTTTAATTCTGACCAATCACAAGCCTTCCCTGAGTCGCTTCAGCTAAGTGGTGATGGCGTTTGCCGCCTTCCCATTGGTTGAGAGAACAAAATGTAAACACTTGTGGCTTGGCGTCGCCCAGAGTGGGTTTTTTCCATCTAGTGTCACTAATATACTCTTGATTTTACCCTCTACAATGTCGGTAAGTACTGATTGTTGTGTTTAGTGTGTACATGAATAGTTTAGGCATATTTTGATATATACATAAAGTCCATGTGAAGCATACTGTGAGTGTAGCATGCAGTTGAAAAAAGTGCAACAAAAGAAGGGCAGTCATAACTACCTCTGCCCGAGTAGGGACATAGTCCACTTTCAGTAAAATAAATATTTATAAAAAAAATTCTACTGCATATATCAATTCAGTAGGTGTCTGGATGTATACAGAACGTTTTTATTGTCCTTCCAGATCAATGAGAAATTGTTTTATGGGGAGCCCTCCAGCACCAGGTCAAAATATGTCTGCATTTTGGATGACAGTGACTCAGAACCAGAGGTAGATGACCCTGAATTGCTTGATAGTGGTGATGAATACTTGCCACCAGACGCAGAGGTGTCGAGTGAAGATGAGGAGGAAAAAAGGCCAGCCAAAAAGCAGAAATTAGTCAAGAAAAAGAGAGGCATTACGATTGAGGAGTACCCTGATGAGGAACATATTTATGACGATCTTGCTCTCCAAGGTGAACCTAAGTGGTCCCAGGTTGACCTCCAAAATAACCCTTTGCCGGCATATGAACATGAAAAGCCTCTTCAAATTAGGTCTCCATATCAGTATTTTTGTGATTTCTTTACTCCAGACATGGTAGATAACATAGCATTTCAAACAAATTTGTATGCCAAGCAAAAAAACATAAATAAAAATTTTGCAACAGATTCTGAAGAGATCATGAGGTTCATAGGTATTTTGTTGTTCATGGGTATTATTCAATCACCATCAGTAGAAGACTATTGGGCAGGTTCATTTAGGATCCCCCAGGTTGCAGAAGTCATGGGGTTTAAGAGGTTTAGGTTACTTAGACGTACTATCCATTTCAGTGACAACACACAAAAGCATAAAGAAGGCTTCCATTCTAGCAATTAGTAATATACAATGATTGCTCTTCCTCATGAATCTCAGGAATATGGGACTTGAAAGTTTTATCCCTTTGCAATGTGTCCTTGTTGCTATTTCTTTCATTTTTATATTTTTCTAATACTTACAAAATGTTTTGATACAAGTTCCATTGATGTTTTTGATATTATATGTTTGCATAATAAATTTTAAAAATAGTTATTGGGTGTTTTATTAACAATTGCAAGTTTGCAACATTCAAATTTATACTCCCCTTGTCGGGCAAGGGCGAGTTTAACTGCCTTTCGCAGATTAGCAATTGCTCGGAAACTAACCATCAGAATTCCATTTATATGGCCTCATTCATCTTATATTGAGTTACTCTATCCACTCTAAAGGAGTTAAGTGTGAAATTCCATTATATCAGACATTGCCCGATAAAGGGTTAAACTGTCCAAACATAGATCTACGTTTTTTCAACATTTGAAAGTAGGTAAAAAAAAACGTTTTTTTTTTTTTTTACATTTGAAAGCTTTTAAAAAAAACTTTGATCTACTTTTTTTTTCTTCTTTCTTTCAACACACCGGCCGTATCCCACCGAGGCGGGGTGGCTTTTTTTTTTTCATATGTACGTATTTGAAAATATGTAAAAAAAAACGTAGATCTACTTTTGGAGCACTACGCATGTGAACGTAGATCTATGTTTGGACAGTTCAAGGGTTAAGCTATGTACACTTCTAGGTTACTCACTGTTCATACGTACAT